ACTTTGGATTTCTTAATTCGAAGCTAGTTGTAGTGGTGGACATTACAAACTGGATAACCTGAAATCCTTGGATAAGAAGGTTAGCCAGAATCCGTTAGTTTATTGGCGGATATCCTTTGCGTGGAATGTGCCGACGGGTCGACCTTGTAAATCTTCTAAGAGATAATAATGGTTTCCAATTTTTTCTTTCACTCTTGCCTTGAGGAATTTGGGGCTAAGTTTCGCATTGAAATTTTTAGAAAAGTCGCTTTGCGCGAAGTTTCGTCGGAAAACTTCTTGACCTATTTGAAAAGAAACGGGTTTGGCTCGTAGGTTATACTGTCTCGCATTTGTCTCGTAAGCTCTCTGCATAGTTTTATGAATGTCGCTTCTTAAAACCGCTGTCCTATCCGAACGTTCAAGAGAAAAATTCGATTCCTCTAGCATGCCTAAACCCCTTAATAAGCGATATTGTGAAGCATGGGTTACCATATTAAATCCGTATAAAATCTCATAAGGAGAACGATTAGTTGTTTGATGTATCGATGTTCTAATAGCACAAGCGATACTAGTTAGGTGTTCGTCCCACTGTTTATGGTCGTCTTTAATGTATGCACGTATTCCCGCAATCAACGAACGATTAACGCGTTCGGATGCGTTGCTTTGGGGAGAATACAGGGCAGTGTAAACGTGGTTAATTCCGTACTCCGTGAGGAAAGCATTAAATTCATTAGACTTAAATTGAACGCCATTATCGCTTATTAAAGTTTCAGGCACTCCAAAGCAGTGGAAAATCTCTTTCAATAAAAATTCTTGAATAGCGATGGCACTGAACTTCCGTAAAGGACATATCCATAGAAATTTACTAAAATGATCTACGACTATCAATAAGCCAATATTTCCTTTTCGACTGCGTGGATATGGTCCTAAAATATCGACATAAAGTCGCTGAAATGGACGCACTGACGTGGCTTGGCTACCCATAGGCGGACGAAGGGTGGTGTTAGGCGCCTTGGTAGTTTTGCAAATCTCACAGTTTCGTATGTAGTCTCGCACTTGCTTAACCAAGCCTGGCCAGAACAAACATCGCCTAATGCGTTCTATGGTTTTATTCATACCGCCATGTGCAGAAATGACGGAATCGTGGGCTCGTTTAATAACTTCCATTCGGAGGCTTTCCAGTACCCACAGCTTCCAGGATTCTTTTTCTTGAGAAGGGTCCCCACTGCTATGCTCGGTACGAATATACACAAATTTATCTACAACACGCAAGTCAGGCAGTTTATCTTGTTCAGTTACAATTTTGGTTTTCAATTGTTCATAATCGTCGTCAGAAAAGGCTGGTGAATCAAGATCAATTTCTGGGCCTATTACCTCGAGAGAGGCTATGTCATTTCCTTCAGGGATCCGCGATAACGCGTCAGGAACGACATTTTCCTTCCCTTTCCGGTGAGAGATAGTAAATTTGTACGCCTGCAGTTTTAACGTCCAGCGTGCCAACCGTCCACTAGGGTTTTGCTGTCGCATTAGCCAGACCAAACTCGAGTGGTCGGTTATGACCTCGAATTGTTGCAGCTCCAAATAACAGCGAAATTTCTCAATAGCAAGAAGAGCTGCCAGACACTCTCGTTCAGTCACGCTGTAATTTCTCTGTGCAGAGTTTAATTTTTTCGACATGTAGGCGATGGGTTTTTTCGACTCCTTCATCTGATAACTGAACCAAAACGGCACCGATTCCGTAATTACTTGCATCGCAATGAAGGAAAAATTTTTTGGAAAAATCTGGATTTTGTAAAACAGGTGCTGACGTCAGCAACATTTTCAACTTTTCGAATGCCCTTTGTGCATCAGAGGTCCAAACAAATTTTTTTTTTGTAGAAAGAACTTCGGTAATAGGGTACGTTACTTCTGCGAAATTCTCGATAAACCTTCTGTACCAACCGCATATCCCTAAAAATCCTCGTACCTGTTTTAGATTTTTTGGTTCAGGCCATGACAGGATGGAATCGATTTTCGAGGGGTCGGTAGAAATTCCACCACTTCCTATGACATACCCTAAATAGTTAACTTTCGTAACGCAAAACTGGCTTTTACTGATATTAAGTGTTAGGTTGGCTTTTTTAAACTGTTCAGCAATTCGTATTAACACGGATAAATGCGACTCAAATGTGTCTGAGACAATACAGAGATCGTCTAAATATCCAAAGACACAATGGCGAAGATCCGGGGGAATAATAACATCCATCAATCTACACATTGTTGATGGAGCGTTACACAGCCCAAATGGCATTACAACAAATTCGTATAATGGTCTACCCGGAATTGTGAATGCTGTCAATGGCTTTGAATTGTCATCTAACTCGATTTGCCAAAACGCATCTTTTAAGTCAAGCTTAGATATTATATTGGCTTTGGGCAAGCGAGCAAAAATGCCCTCGATGCTTGGCAGGGGATAAGCATCTTTTTTTGTTACCTCATTTAGTCGTCTAGCATCAAGACACAAGCGAACTTTACCGGGTTTTACAACTAGTCGCATTGGTGAGCTCCAGGGACTGCTTGAGGTTTGAATAACACCTAAGTCTAGCATTCGGTCAACCTCGTCGAACATCAGTTTTTCAACGTTTGGGCTGACTGGGTAGAACCGTTGCTTAACTGGTTTGGCATCCTCCACGTCAATCGTATGCTTTATTAAGGGCGTGCGACCTAATCCTTGCGTTTCAAAACTCGGGAACATAGTTTTTACACATTCTAATTGATGCTGTTGCAGTTTTGTAAGAGGGAAGTTGCCGTCAGTATTCTCAGATTTATCTTTGCTGATTTCAACGGTGTCTACACCACTATTAGTGATGGTATCAACCGAAGAGAATTGACCAGCCGATATGCAAGAAATCAAACCTGGGGCCAAGTCGAATTCTTTCCAAAAGTCTATTCCTAAAATTAGCCGATTCGTAATAGTGGGGATAACAAAAATTTTCAAAGCTTTTTTTACGGCTTGGTATTCGACAATCGCGCTTAGATAACCACTGACTGAATGTGGTTTACCGTCAGCGGTTTTTACCGTGGTATTTAAGGGATGAAACTGCGAATATTTAGAAAAATCTGTTTTCGCCAAATCTGTTCCCACACAGGAAACATTGGCACCGGTGTCCAGTAGGCCTAACTCCTCAAAGTCTAAGAACTTAACTTTGGCATACAATCTATTATCGATCCTATTTTCGAACACGGCTGAAAGGAAAAGCTTTCGTGTCGGTTTGACATTCTTATAATAATTACGTATTCTTGCGGTATTTCTTTTGGATTTCAACGTAGGTGGCTGACTAAATATCCTATTCTTAGCTTCTAAATAATTTTTTAGTCTTTCATGATAGGGCAACATGTGGCTTGGTAAAGTATTATCGTTACTCGTAGCGTTGTGACTCGTGAAAGGGGCAATTACTTTCGATTCGGAATTGTTAATCCGAATCGACAGATCTGGGTTATTTTGAATTATATTGGCAGTGTTCAGTTTGGGTGCGTACGAGGTGGTCGAACCGCACCCCTCTTCAAGTTTTCCAAACGACGAGCGGCACAAGTTTGGCATTGAGGTTTGTACATTCCTGGCTCACCACAGCCATAACAAAATATGCTGCGTTCAGCAAGGCAATCTTGCCAATGATGACCATCTTGGGAGCAGTTCCAGCATTTAGTAATATTCGCTTGCTGTAATGCAGCGACTTCCAATGCGGACTCTATGTGCCCATCCCCTTCCGGAAGCTCATCTTCCTCGATACTTGAAATATTTCGTCTGAAATTGGTCTCTGCTAACTGCCTGGAAATCGGAGTCCGTCGAAAATTCTCGTCGGCTAAAAGATTTTCTCTCATTTGACAAAGTTTTCTCAACTGTGCAATAGAGCGAACGTTGACATATAACAGTTCGTGGCGAATTTGAGGTTTTAAATTTCGGGTTAATATTTCTATTAACTCCTCTTCCTCTAGGGGGCAAGATAGCCTGTCACACATCAAAGAAATATCATCATAAAAGGCCTCAAATGTCTCACCGGGCTTTTGTTTTCGACTTCTAATTTGTTCCCTGATATCAAAATTGGACCTATAATCTCTATATTGGTACCGTATGGCAGCACAAAAATCTTGCCACTCGATAATTTCATTTTGCTTATGAAAGCGCCAATACCATTCGCGGGCCTTTCCGGTTAGAAGCAAAGGTATATGTTTACATAGTAAATTGAAGTCTCCGTTCAAGTGAATCTCTGTGAGAGCTCTAACACGATAGAGAAATTCTTCTACAGTTAATTCCTTGGAGGATCCATTATATTTTATATTCCAATGCTGTATTATATTTATCACTTTATCCGTACGAAGGTTCGAACAATTCGGGTTAGTAATATTATTACTATTAGCAAGGTAACGAGGGTCGTTAGATTGGCGTATGTAAGCCTGGGTTTGTAACCTATCTTGGTCGAGATTTAACCCAGCTAAAATTCTCCTAACGTTTTCTTCTACCATTTGTGATATTCGATCGGAATCCACTACGGCACCAGAGTCGCGAACTTGATTATTTAGGTTACGTTGCGTATTGGAGACGTTAGTTACATCCCTATCGACTGAATCACCTACTGGCATGGACAGGTTTAGGGAACGAGGGCTTTGCGCAACTTGCTGATTGTTATCACCTTCTATTAACGACTGGGAGCTGGGAGGGTTATTACGACGCCTATTGCGAGTTAATTGTCTATGCCCGCGCCCTCGCAAATTGGTACCTTGTCTACTTTGAAAGCTTTGCTCAGCCGGCTTGAGGGTAATTGGTATGCAGTCTTTAACATGACATAATCTTTTGCAACAAGGACATTCGTGTTGCTTTTCAAGCCAAGTTCCTATACATTCCCGGTGATATACGTGGTTGCACAAAGTAATTACACAGTCTTGCATTTCAGTCATTGTTTCTTGACAAATGGCACAGTCACATGACTCTTTAGCCACTGCAGACAGAGCTGGAATGTTTTCTGCACTTCGGGTAATCGGCATTTTTTACTTTAAATAAAAGCAGTTACAAAAAAATTGTATTTTATTTTTTTTTTTTTTTTTTTGTGCTAATGTTTCGGTTCCTCACTTGTGGTTTTCAGGTAACTAATGTTCGGTAACGTAATTTAACGGCTGAGTTGAGAGAGTGGAAAAGAATTTAGGTTATGGATTTATTTTAGCACAGATGCAACAAACGGTGACAATTAGCATTATAATTCGGCAAGCAGTCTTTGAACTGCTGTTAGATTTAAATTAATCTGTCTTCCTGAATCTTACTTAACCAGAGCATAACTAAAAGGAAAAACCAAACATGGTTCCTTTAATTGCGGTTTGTTGTCCGAGGATTTACCAGACAGCAAAATTTCCAGCAAAAATTAACCAAAAAGACAAAGGCGTGTAATCCGTTTTCTAGCGGCAAACATCTTTGGAATTAGATCCAATAATGTAGAAAAAATCCAGCTAGATTGATCACAAAAATAAAACTAACACAAAAACTTTGAATCTAACGGGATTTGTTTTGTATGCATCTTGCTATAATTTGAACTTCAAACTCTGGTCGGAAACCCCAAACATCTTTTAAGTGGTTCAGCTACTCTACTTTGAGCCACGTACTGAAAAATCCTCCATTAATTGCTTGAATTCTAAACCAGAACTTAATCAGATCTATGGCATTGAAATTTAATTCGACGGATAATAAGACAAAACAAGTCGGAACTATTTGTTTTCCAATTAGGAGTTGATAAAATTTTAGCAAAGGTGTAATACTTGCAACATTCCAGACATGCGTTGCCCCACGTTGGGCGCCAAAAATATGTAACCGCATTGAACATTGCAGGGTGGTATCTTGTAAGGCAAGAAT